CCTAAGAAACACAGTAAATCCCTAAGCACAGGCCCCTCTCAACACCCACTTTTCCAACAGGCAAAGCCCACTCCTACAGCAGTCCCTATGATCCAGCAGAATGAGCAGCATCACCATGCCCCTGTTTGAGCATGGAACAGCTTCCTCGCAAGCTGCATCAAGCAAACCAAGAGCAGAACTTGAACGTTTCCATGTGACATCCAAGAGCTTCTCCAGCAAACCCTCAACTCAGCAGCCCATTCGCCTCACTTATTAATGAGGAACAGACCCCGTGTTTTGTGGCTTAAAAGGGGGAAGGGAATCGGCCCTAAATAGCTCTGGGAGCGTTCATTTGCATCTGATCACTTTGCAGGGTGCACCTACCCTCTCAGGAAGGGTTTAGGCCAAAACTCCTCAAGTGCATTTCGACAAGCAGTCAGCAACATTGACAGGTTCTTAATACCTTACCAAAGTGCACAGGAATGCAGTGCAGGCCACCCACACTTCATTCCATATGCATTAAGCAGCTTTGGAACGAGCCAAGTACTTTAAGTGCATGCATGAAGCTGGTTCCATATGCATCAAGCGAGGAAAAGTGGGCTAAGAGATGTTCTAAGTGGACTAAGATGAAACACAAAGGGCTTTGCTTACTATTCACTGTAAAAGCACAGCAGCTTAGCTTTATGTCAGTGAAAATGCCTTACTTTCTGCAATCTCAGCCTCTCCTTCTCCGCAGAGCTTTTGTGGCATTTCTGAGATACCTGGAATGACAAAACACAAGTTTTAGGGCTCCCCATCACTCCACGAGGCACTGGAACTCTTGTGAGGAGAGCAGCAAACTCCATCTGAACTGGGTTAACCTTGTTCTTGCAGGCTTGTGTATTCAGCAACTTACCTATTCTATCAGAACACACTGCAAGCAGCTCTGGCTCTGATTTACATCGCAGCCTGAAGCCATTCAAATGCTTCAGTTTACTCAGCTTTGCATAACCAAATCCCTCCAGTCTCCTCAGCTCTAAAGTAGCATTTGCAAGGGAATATCATGTGCAGAAAACCAAACAGAGATCAGAGCTGCTCCAAATCACAGGAGCACAGCAGAGGATGTTTAATCACAGCAAAGTCACTTCCTTTGGGTTAAAACTCGTTGTTTGGGGCTTTTTCCATCCTACCACTTACTCTGGGTAGGATATTCAGCTGTAACTGCCTGAACTCAAGGGCTGTCATCCATATTTTAGCGCTGTTTCTTCTTGCTTTTCCAGCAGCACATCAACCTGAAGCTCCCAACAGGTCATGCTCCTCATGTTAGTTAATGCTGTTATTTATATAGGGGGATAAAACAACTATTTGATGTTAAAGAGCATTATGCATGGATTGGTCAAAGGCTTCATCTGCCAATGTTTCAGCACCCTGGGGCTTGTTTCTTGCATTCCCCCATTCCCTCTTCTTCCATTCACAGCAGAAGGTGGGATGTTTGAGCTCTGTGGTTAACAGCTCAACACTGACCAAGTGCTTTATGTTCTGTGCTCACAGACAGCCCAGGTGATGCTGTGCAAAGCTGCAGCAGGACATTCTATGGGTAAAACAAGAGCTCTTTCACCTGGAAGCTTTACTTTGAACAGAGCTGTTCCCACCGACGAGAGCAAACGGATTAAGACAGGTTGAGACACAGGTTCCCATTTGGGAACAGCCTCACCTCACACCACAGGAAAGCAACAACGTGGTTGGGTTCCTGTCTTCCAGCAGTGTTTTACTTGTTCTGCTAGGCTGGAAATCCTTCAAGGAAAGATTGGGAGTTTCAAGTGTATAAGAACGGATCAGTTTCCTTGATAAGGAGGGTGAGGAAAACCTGGGGTTGGAACTGGATGAGCTTTATGGTCCCTTCCCACCCAAACCAGGCTGGATCCTGGGATTTACCCCAGCCACATGCTCCACTGCCTGGCAGCACGTAACCCACCCCTCCAAACCTGCCTCCTTTTCCCCTCTCAGCTGTAGCTGAGCAGCACAGACATGTGGGGTTGCCCAAGCACATTCCCTGGCTTGGAATGTGGGATTGGAACGAACCCCCTGCTGCACAGGCCCCACTGTGGGTGCCCCTGCACCCCACTGATCCCTTCCCAAAGTGACTGAGCAATGAACAGGCACTGGAGCCACGTGAAGGGCCCCATCACCTCTGCAGCCACTGTTGTGCTCAGCAGCTTCCCCTTCACTTCACCATGAATCACAGAGCTCCCAAACTGCAACTACAATGGTAAGGAACCAGCTCACTGAGAGCTTCCCTCCTGTGCTCCAGCATCCTGCTCCTGGGAGCAGCATCCATGCAGCGAGCGGTCCCTGGTGTGCCTGGAACAAGATGGACGAGAGCAGAAGCTGTGTGTGCTCGGTTCAGAGGCTCACCTGCCTCATGCCCATGCTCACAGAGGGATCTGCAGGGAACTGATGTTCTCTGGCTTCAACTGAAAGCTTTTTCTATGCCACAGCCATTCAGAGCTGGAAAAGTTTCTGCACTGACCTGGACCGTGTCCGCTCCTAGGAACTGCAGCAGCTTCAGCAAGAAGAGAACAGAGGTTGTAAAACATCAGCTAATGGACAAACCTGCTTTTGGACACTGTCCTTATCCCAGTGACCAAAGCACCAAGTCACAGAGTGTGCACTTGAGAAGCACTCCAGTCAGAGAAATGAAATGAACCTGTGACAGAGTTTAAAGTCACATCCCCATGATGCAAATACACCCGCAGCTCCAAACCAGGCACGACTCAAACCCTTCTGCTACAGCTAAGATACAAAAGGGCAATAACTCCATTACATCCCTAATGAATCACCATCACCTTCCACACACATCCATCCCATTGGTCCTTTTCACTCCAAGCACAGGAAGCCACCCACCAAAGAGAACAAGGGACCAACCTTCCTCGCAGGCGTGGAGGCAGCCAAGGGGCTGGAGGTTCTCTTTGTCTCTGCTGCAGGCTGCACCCCGGGGGAGCCCCCAGAGCCAGAGCTCAGCGAGGAGTTGGTGAGGCCCGAGTCCCCTTCCCGGGATGATTCCATGGTCTCGTTTCCCGATGTGATGCTCCCATCCATAGAAGTGACAGGGGGAGGCTTTGTGCTCATAATGTCCTCCAGGAGCACCACAGGCATCTTCCCCCCAAAGATGACATCCTTCAGTTCAGTCGGGTTTACCTTTGTGCTTTCCACGTTGTTACACTCCATTAACCTGGAACGGGACTGGATTCCACCGACCAAACCTTCACCTTGATTCCCACACGGTGTGTCAGTCTCCATGGACTCATCTGTTTGGCTTCTCTGAGTGGAATCCAGGCAACTCAAGGGGTTTCTCTCTTTTCCTAACGTGCCATTAGTTATAGCTAGGGATGAAGATGCTTTTGAGTCCACATGGTCTGCGTCACCACTCAGTCTATGGCTGGAGCCCTTTGCCAGCTCAGTAACAGTTACAGGTTCATTTGCGTTATCTTTTGGGTTTTTCTGGATAAAATGGTCTAATGGTCCCTTCCCATTAACAAGTTTGGGAGCAAAAGCCAGCCCTGGCTCCAGCTGGCAGTCATTCTCCACATTGTCCAGGGACGCAGCCAACACGTCCAGGGAGGGATCCTTACTGGGAGCAAACCCCCCGGGGGAGCTCTTCACCTTCTTGACTTCGGAATCTGCATCGTCCTTCGGCACGGGGTTCAAGCGCTTGAACGGCAGCCGAGCTGGAAGGAGAGCTGTGCGTTACCCCAGTCATAGGCACACAGCGGCTTGGGTGGGAAGGGACCTTAAAGCCCACCCAGCTCCCACCCCTGCCAGGGCAGGGACCCCTTCCACTGGAGCAGCTTGCTCCAAGCCCCTGTGTCCACCTGGCCTTGAGCACTGCCAGGGATGGGGCAGCCACAGCTTCTCTGGGCACCCAGCTGGGGTCCCTTCACTCCCACCCTATTGCACAGAACGAGGCCTGACACCTCCTCAGCGCGCTACAGCCACGCCGGGGGACGCCACTGCCCTGCAGCCTTACCTTGTACGAGCTTCCGCGGAGGCGCAGCCGCTTTGTCCCTGCACTCCATGTCTGCGGGAGAGAACCGGCACAGTTAAACCCCTCCGCGCCTCCCCGCGGACACGAAGACCCCCCAAGGCCGCGGGGACCCTCACAGGCCGAGGGGGACGAGGCCGGGCAGGACGGAGGCGGCGGGGCCTGGCTCCGAGGCGCGGCGGCGGCTCCGGGCCTCCTTTGTTACCCCGGGGAGGCCCCGCGCACCCCGGCCGCGCAGGAAGTGCGGCACCACCGCGGCAGCGCCGCTCTCCCCCGCTCCGCGGTACCTGCTCCGGCCAGGCCCGCCAGGCCCGGTCCCGTCCGGTCCCGGTCCCGCCCCGGCGGCTCCCGCTCGTATTTGGCGGGAGCCGGGGCGCCCCCGCGCCTCGCTGAGCTGATAGGCGGAGCGCGCCCCACGTGACCCGTGCTTCCGCCCGCCCCGCCCCCTGTGAGGCGACCGGCGCTGATTGGAGGCTGTGGGTGTCAGTTTGAAGAGCTGCAGGTGCTGATTGGAGGGTTGGGTGAGGGGCGCCGTTGGGGCCTTACGCCTGTGCTCGAGGCTAGGCCGCAGCCGGGACAGCGGCGGTTCGGCTCCCGGGACGGCTCCGGTGAGACCGGGACCGCCTTCACCCAGCACCTCCCTGCTGCGACACGGAGGGGCCGGAGGCAGGGCGCGAAATGGCGGCGGCGCCGGGAGCCAATGAGCGATCGGTGCTGGCGCACGCAGGCGCAGACGTGGGGGGACTGCCGCGAGGGATTCTGGGAGTTGTAGTTCTCCACCTGCTCGCTCCCCCGGAAGAGGAGGAGGCAGCTGCGATAGAGCGACAGCAGCGGCAGCACCGCCCTCCCCTGGCGCTGTCGCGATAGAGCCCCTGACTCTCGCACTGCGGCCGCTCCCTCGCACCGTGAGGTGTTAGCACCGCCCCGCCCGCAGGCGGTGCCGGTTGGCGGCGCTCCGCCGGGCCGGCAGGGGGCGTGGCGGCGGAAGCGACAGCGGCGGGGCCGGGCTGGGCTCGGTTGCGCCGGGCTCCGTGGTGCCGCCACAGGCCTCCCCGGCGCGGGCGGCAGCAGCAGCAGCAGCAGCAGCGGCAGGATGTCGGTGGCGGGGCTGAAGAAGCAGTTCTACAAAGCGAGCCAGGTAAGGGCCGGGGGGGGGCCTGGTGATCCCCCCCATACCGCAGTTATCCCCTCCCGGCATCCCGGTGCCGTGCTCGTCTCCCTCCCGGTGCCCGATGTTCCAACCCCCGCTCTTCCCGGTGCTCCCCGGCTTCCCGGAGCCATCCCGGGGCTCGAAGGGAAGCGGGAGGGTCCCTGGGTTTCGATGCCGGCGGTGCCCCAGGGCCACGGGGGTGTCATGCGGAGGGGGGACCCCAAGTAGCGGGGTCCAAACCCCCCCCCCCGGTGGTGGCAGGGCCGGGATTCCCTTTGGAACGGGGAAGGGGAGCGGGTTTTCGGGAGGAAAGCCCCGGGAGGAGGCGGCCGGGCCGCGTTTGCGGCCCCGTTAACGGCGGGTGGCTGCAGCCGGGCCTCGGGAAGCTCCCGCTTCCTGGAGAGCAGCGCCGGGAATGGGAAGCAGCATCGGGAAAGCGACCACGGCTCGATCCGCAAACGGGGGCTTGGTGGCACCCGAAAGGGAGGAGGGGGGAACGCGGCAGCTCGGGCTGTGGGAATGTGCTGCGAACGTGGTCCAGGAAGCTCCCTTCCCAGCAGCGAACACCGGCGTTACCGCTGGGAGCTTCCTTTCCCGCTGTGTCGGGAGCCAGCCCGGAATCCCGGCCTAAACTGAGGGGAAAACGCGGTTCCAGCCCCTCCGGGCTCAGCCCAGCTGCGTGCGTCGCCTCCTCCTCTTGGCCCTGCTTGGGAACACGCGTTCTGCTTCCCCCCGAAGCAGCAGAGCGCATTCCTGAAGGCATTCCGCCGCCCCCTTCCTTCGGATCCCTGCGCTCTAAGTGGGCTTTCCGACCCCTGCCATAGGGAAAAGCTGTGCTGGAAGCTGGCTGTGGGAGGGTGTTGCTGGCGTGGATGCGCTGTGCTGCTGGGGCACGGGCAATTAGAGGTGAAAGCTCATGGCTGAGTCAGGAGCAGCGCGGTTCCAAGAGCTAAGAGCATCCGAGCGCCCTATGGAGCCTCTCCTGGGAGGGTTTGTTGCAAAGAGGTGGGCTTGGGTCAGTGGTTTCCTTTGTTACCGGTGCCCTTTTGGGTGTTAAAAGGAACCTTTTGGGGTTATTGTGGGGGACATGAAACCCAGTGCAAGGAGAAGTCACTTGACGTCGCTTGCCCAAGTGGCCCACTCGCCTCCACTGAGCACTCAGGGTGTGTTCGTTGCAATAAGTGGCGGAGGTGTCTTTGCTGTTGCATTGGGACTGCATCAGCAGTTCTTTCGTGGCTCTCGTTGCCACGGGGCTCTGGGAGCTGATAGAACCCAAAGGAGCCGGGTTTGTGCTGGGGTTTCCCACCAGTACCCAGGAAGCTCCTGGCTCTGCAGGGCTGCGAGGGACAGGGCCCTCTTGCAGGTGCTGCCACCCCCTTCTCAGTGATGGGTGCATGGGTATCGGCTCCTTAGAGATGCTTTAACGTGAAGCTGGGAGTCACTGGTTCCACTTGGGCCGGTTTTCTCCTCTATTCCCTTCCCTTTCCACCCTCCTTCCCTTTTCCCTCCACCGGTCCCACTCCTCAGCCTCCCCTTGGCTCAGGGAGTCGAGGCTTAGTTAAGTTTTGGCTCTTCCAGCGCTCCCAGCCGCTGCCAAGAGCAAACATGTGGAAGATCTTTCCTAAAACGTTGTGTTTGCTTCCACGGCTGTTGTTAATTGAAGGCAAAGAGAGCCAGGAGCGAGGTCTGCGTGGAGCAGGGTCCTGCTGGAGCAGCAGGTTTGGGACCCCCCCATCTCCCTGCGTGACAAAGGGACCGGTCCAGCCTCCCTGGGAGGAGAAGGAGCAGGAGTTGGCTCTGTGCTGCCTGGGGAGGCACCCACACAACAGAGTCCCGCTGGCAAATGGAGCAGTGGCTGCGTGTGTCCCAACAGGTTCTGCTGGTTCACAGCAAACTGTGCTGCTGTGGAAAACAAGCTCACCCCAGGAAGGAGGAGGAACAGGAGCAGAAACAGCTCCGGTGTCCTGAGCAGGGAGGGAGATCCCTGTCTGCAGGTATTGGAGTGCCTGCTCCCAGGCTCCATCCAGCCTTGAGCCAGCAGCAGCCACTCGGGTGCACAGGGTCTGGGGTAGGAATGGCTCTGGGGAGACCCCCCACAGCCCTGATCCGGTTCTGGGGCAGCAGCACAAGAGGGACCTGGAGCTGCTGGAGTGAGGCCAGAGGAGGCCATGGAGCTGCTGCGAGGGCTGGAGCAGCTCTGCTCTGGAGCCAGGCTGAGAGAGCTGGGCTGGGGCAGCCTGGAGAAGAGAAGGCTCCTGAAGGGGAGACCTGAGAGCAGCTCCAGTGCCTAAAGGGGCTGCAGGAAACCTGGAGAGGGGCTTGGGACAAGGGCCTGTAGGGACAGGCCAAGGGGAATGGCTTGAACCTGCCCGAGGGGAGACTGAGCTGAGCTCTGAGGCAGAAGCTCTTCCCTGTGAGGGTGCTGAGGCGCTGGCACAGGGTGCCCAGAGAAGCTGTGGCTGCCCCATCCCTGGCAGTGCTCAAGGCCAGGTTGGACACAGGGGCTTGGAGCAAGCTGCTCCAGGGGAAGGGGTCCCTGCCCTGGCAGGGTTGGAGCTGGAGGAGCTTTAAGGTCCCTTCAACCCAAACCAGGCTGGGATTCTATGCAACCTCCCTGTTAAGCTCTGGACGTGGTGCCTGAGCTGCTGTGCCTGGGCCTGCTCTGAGCTCAGCCTCAGTGGGTTTGTACCAGCCCTTCGTGTTTATCACCTCTGCCTTGAAGGGACAAGCCTTAGGGCGGAGGCCGTGCTCCTGTGATAGGGGGGTGGTGACCTCGTCCCCTCCCTCAGTGCCAGCAGGACTGGGGTCGGGCAGCTCTTGGCAGCGCCAGGGCAGAAGCAGCAGAGCCTGTTTGGTCTGACACAAGCAGTGGTGCGTGGTGCCCTTACCCATAGCCTCCAGCAGTGTGGAATCACCCTGATCCCAGTGTGGCCGCTTTGGCTGCTGCCCCATGGATGTGGGGAGCCGGGGCTGCCCCTGTCTGCTCCGAGCAGCTGAAGCTCCATGGGGATGAGCTTGCTGGGCAGTGTCACCTCAGGGCTGCCGGGGCCCTTGGGGGACCCAGGACGTGTTCTGGTGTGCTGAGTGAGGGAAGGCAGCATTGCTGCCTGCAGCCAGGCTGGTGCTGCTGCCACCCCGGGCAGGATTAACGTGCTCCCAAAGCCTGTGCTAGGCCTGCCTGGGCTTAGGGACTGGGCGAGTGAGTGATGGCTCCGGGCCGGAGACACAGAGCAGGCTCCATGGTCCAGGAGCTGTTTGCCAAGGGGAGAAGTGAGTGCTGGTAGAGACTCCAAGCCCTCGACACACACACTCTGCTCCTGGCTTCGGTGGCTGCTCCTGAGGTTCTGGAGATGCTTTGGGGCATCAGTAACCACCATCAATAACCCTTTGCTTCCTGCCTGTCCCAAGAGCCTGGGATGTGCTCTGCAGCCTCCGAAGCCGCTTGAGGACCACGCAGTTCCCAAGCTCCTGAGCTTTCCAGGCAGTTGGTAATGCATCCTAAGAGCTCCCTTCCAGCAGGGAATGGCATCTGCTCCCAGGCTGAGGCAGTGGGATCTGCTCCCAGCCGTGCTGCACAGGGACAGGGATGCAGGCAGCAGTGGGCCATTTGTCCTCTGGTATTTTGGCCTTTGTGTCGTTTCCTCCTGTTCCCTTTATTTCCCTTTCCAGTGAGGTTTTTATCCTCCCTTTCCCAGGTGATGCCTTTTGACAGCTCCTGCTTTGCCTTTTCCTGAGGTTCGCTCAGTCCTCCTCGCATTGAGCTCTCTGGGGCTCTCTCTCATAGGCATGAGCTGCCTTTCCTCTCCCTGCCTTTGCTTTGCAGAGGGTTTGTGGGCACATCAAGGACGTACCGTGCAGCACAGGATCTCCCACTGGAAAAGAACTGGGAAGAGCAGCATGCGGGATAACCTTCCACATGGAATCCAAACCCACGAGGCCAGAGCTTGCCTGTGGGTGCCTCGTCTTGCTGCACATGGTTCCATTGTGCCCTCCAGCTCCAGCCCCACACACAAGGGGGGCAAGGACATCCCTCAGCAGTGGCATCACAACTTGAGGCTCATCTTGTCTTGAATCCTGCAGGATTCAAGGTGGAAGTGGGCCTGACCTGCTCCATGCGCGTTCCCAGAGCCAAGGAGAGAGGTGGGTGAAGCCCTGGGGGAGCCCTCGCTGGTGCTCTGGGGCTGAGCCCTCATCCAGCAGCCAAAGGAGGAACCAGGCACCCGAGGGTGGGGTTTAGGCGCTATTTTGGGCTCTGTTTGAGCTGTTCTGGTGCATTCTGCAGGCCCGTGCGGTGCCACCAGGAGCCGAGTCAGCGGCAGGGGCTGAGGGGCAGGAGGAGGTGGGGGAGAGGGTGCCATGGGGTAGTGGTGGCCTCAGCAGCGCTGCGGAAGGGTTGGGCTCCATGAGCTTCAAGGTGTTTTCCAGCCTGGTTGGAGCTGTGGTTCCGTGAGCCTGTGTCAGCAGAACCCCTGATGGAGGGCCTGGGCTGGAGCACGGTGCCTGAGGACCTGGGTGCTGCCTCAGGGGTGACTGCTGGAGCAGTTCTGAGCAGGGTTCAGCCAGGCTGGAGCTGCAGGCAGGGGGTGCCTCCTGGTTCTGCATCAGTTCCTTTAACTCGGCGTTTCTCCACCTTCCCAGATTGTTTTCCCAGGCACTGGGCTCAAAGAGCCAGAACTGGGATTCTTGGAAGGCAAAGGCACAAAACAGAGGTGGAAAACTCCATCTCTCCACGTGCTGCTCTGCTTGCTCCCGTTCCCCTCTGTGACATCCAGCAGGGAGAGTTCCCCGCTGGCAGGATCTGGGATGCAGGAAGGATGCTTCACTCCGGGCTGGAGGGGACGGTGCAGCGCTGCTCCTGCCTCTCCCTCTGCCTTGGGGCTTGCTGTCCAGCATGGTCTGTTGATCCCTCTTTGTGGGTGAAGCTTTGAGAGCAGCCAGTGCCAAGGGGGTGGTTTCTGGATGGGATGGAAGGAAATCCTTGCTCCCCC